ACAAGGATGCAACCTTATCTCATCAGAAAATATAAAATTAAGCATACACGCAGCAAAGAAAGAGAGCGATCACACTGTTGCTCGTACCTGGCGGAAGAAAGTGATGGGCTTCTGGTTAAGCTGTTGGGGGTTGCCAATGTTGCAGAATACGACACGATCAAAGTTCAAGCTCGACTTGTTCGTCTCCAATTGCTAATAACGTGAATGTGTCAAAGTGAAAGAGATAAGCACATAAGCAAAAAAAAAAAAAAAAAATTGGGAAACGTGTATTCTTGTCCGTACCTTGCTCAGGACGTCGGCACGGATAGGCAAGGCACCACGCACAGCATACTCGGCATTGCGGATTTGCGGGTTCATGTTCTTGGTAGTCAAGACTTTTAAAAACACGATCTTAGTAACGGTTATGCGATCGCCTTGGCTTTATCTATCTTTATTACCTTTGGAGGAAGCCGATCGCAGCGAGACGTGACGGTGAGCGATCGCAGCTTTCTTGAGAATGTGAACGTGGTGACGGAGCATCGCAAACAACAAGGTTCAGCCGAGTGAGGAAAGAAAAGAGTGGGGAAGGGCCGTCTGTGTGAATGAAAAAGAACCACTGCCTTGTTTCAGAGGCTGTGCGTTATCCGGCCGAAAAAAAAAAAAAAAGAGAAATTTTTTTTCTTTTTTTTTTTTTTTTTTTGGGCAGCCAAATACCCAGAATGGTGACTCATGTTGGGGGTAGCACCACTTTCCGAATCTCTCAGGTACACCATGCAGCATTAGGGATTACATACACTTTATTATATTATCATTACTGTTACTATGGGTATGAGTGCAGCAGTCTCAATATACAGTCTTCTGAGCCAAGGAACCCGCCCTTCTATGTAAATGACGAACAAAAGATAGAGTAAGAAGCTATGTAAGTACAATGAAAAAAAATGAAAGAGGAGGAGAAAGAGGAGGAGTGGTAATAGTAGTGATGGTGGTGGTGGTGATAGTACTAGAGTAGTAATGCGCACTAAAAGGAGGTGGTATACTGTATGGATCTTGGTTATGTTGAGAGATGCAAATAAAGACAGAAGGGAAGACTATACAATGGCGTGTTCCTGAAGAGGCTCGAGCCGAAACTTGAGTTCGCGCAGACGGTTATCCGTCGGGTTCCATTTTTGATACAGGCCACGCAGCCGCTCCAGCTCACCCCGGAGGGTATCGTGGCTGAGGATCCGTGGATCGTCATATATGCCGCGCAGGACCCATGGTAACCCATACGGGTTGATCCTCGCCTTGGCTTGATACACCTCCACTGACGCTTCCTGGGGAGCTGGTGATGGTGGTGATGCTCCCGCTTCTTTTGAACAGGCCGGAGCGTCATACAGCAGCCGTGACCAATGCCCAATCGGGGGCGTGTCGAACAAGGTACGCACCGCCATCATGTACACGTCCCGCTCTTCATATACAGTCGAGTGTCCGCCCTCCAAAGCATAGATGCTGCCCGCCAGCACCTCACTCACGTTCGTCAATAGACCATGGTCAGACAAGCCAAGGTTGCGTAGTCGCAGTGCAAACACGACAAGATGGATCAGGAAGTCGTTTTCGACATAATTGTGCTTGTCAATGTAGACCGCGCGCAGGATATTGGGATGCGAGATGGCTGTCAAGGTGGCCGAGTACAGCGGCACGACCTGGTCTTGGAGTGATCCGACCAGGACCGTTTTGATGCCTTGGCGCAATACGTCTGCTAGTGCTTGATGAAATGCCTGTGCGATTCGGGTCGTGGAGTCCATAAATTCAAAAAGCTCGCGAGCCGCGTCAGCTTCAAAGTACTATAAGGAAAAGAAAACGAAAAGAAGAATAATGTGAGCAGGCATATGCCCTTCTGCGAAACGTTGCTTGTTTCTTTTTTTTTTTTTTTTTTTTTGGTAGTACCTTGACAATGAGACTGCCCTTCAGGACAGGAAACGGGCCATGCCCAATACCCGCCATCGCTAACACGCAAATTGGCTGACGATGTGCATGGATATGGCCGAGATCGAGCAGCTGTTTCAGAAGTAGAAACGAGACGGGCGTGCCCTGCGAGTGCGTCGCCCACAAGATCACATCAGCAGACGAAATGGCCTCGAGCCACTCGATATTGGCCAGCAGCTGGTGATAGTGCTTCGAGACGCGCTCCTCGACTTTGCCTTCGCCCTCCAGTGGAATCATCGTCAGAATGCTTTCGGGTAGCGTGAGATGGTGCTCGGTCGCGAAATAATGCTTGACTGCCGCAACCATCTGGTGACAAAACTTTTTGGACGTCCCTGTCGGCTCGCCGATCACGCTACGTACGAGCTTTACAAAGTAATGTGTGAGTATCCAGTATATACGTATATATATATATATATATATATTTACCTTGGTTGGGAACCAGCCGTGTACACCGATAACCACAATACGCTTCTGCACGAGCTGATCCGGACGCGCCTTCATGTCAGGCAAGAGTCTGGCGAAGCTATCACGGATCTGTGCGCGCCATGCTGCCGGATCCACGAAATCAGACGGCTTCTTGGTAAAGAGGTCGTCCCACCAGCTTTCCAATACATTCAAAAGTGGTTTTGGGGCGGGTTCTTGCTGTGGCTGCGTCGGTTGGGGCGGAGGCGGTCCGAACTCGGACTGGAAAAGGGGCAGGACCGGATTTGTGCCGCCGTTGCCCTGAGCGTTGTGTGCGTCTGCGGCGGAGGTGGCGGATGATAAGACGACGGATTCGACGCTGCTGTTGGCATAATCATGCTGCATGATTTTCTGTGTACTCGGCAGGTGTGCAGCCGGTGCCGTGCTAGAAGGTTCAGGACGTGCAGACGCCTCCTTTTCAATAGGGACGGTGCGCACGGACGAAGACGATGAATGGACATGCGAGTGTTCTTCTGATTTGAGTAAAAGATCTTGCTGCTGTTGGCGTACGAGGCGGATCGTGGCAGGTGAAGAGAGTCGGTCGTCGTGGGTGGATGCAATGGAAGGAGGTATCGAGGAAAAGTCGTTTTCTTGTTGATCGAGGAGCGTTGTATCTGTATGAGTGACGAGATCACCGCTCACAGAGACGCTTGTGGAGGACACGGACGCCGCAGTGGCCTTGTGCTGGTGTCTCATGTGGACTTGGACCGATAAGGGCCGCTCTTTCTTGGTGTGCAGACGAGGAGGCGAGTGTCGTGTCAGGTACAGGCTGCTGCGTTTTCGACGGGGTATTTGTTGTCCATTCATAAGTCCTTCTTCTTCTTGTGGTTCTTCTTCGTCAGACGACCATGGTGTCTGCTTCGCCAGCTCGACCGAAAGTGCGGCAGCAGCTGACCAGGTCGGTTTCACCTCTTTCTTTTCTTCAAAATCATGGGGATCGACATGGACAGAAGTTGTTTTGGCTGTAGGTCCGGATTTAGGAGAGATCATTTTCTTTTCATTCCACTTTTTGTAAGGTGCATGCTGAGTCCGGACAGGAAGGCGAGGATCGCTGTAGTAGCCAAAGGTGATTGAATTCAGCCAATGCAACATGCACACAGACAAACGCAAGCACAGACAAAGAGAGACAAGTGAAAGGTGCAACGTGGACACACCACGCAGTTGGGTCTTTTGCTGGCGTTCATATGATCAAAGCGCAAAAAAGAATGAACGCATGCTGTGATACCCAAAACAGGTACAACGCTCCTCCTCTCCCGAAATACTACATTTATAGCCTATCCTGCATGACTACAAAACACTTTCTCCTTGACCGTTGTTTTCCCTTTCTCCTGATCGGCATAGGCCCTAATATCGGAAGAAGTTTCATTTTTACTACTTTTCAGTGGCAAAAAAGAAAAAAAAAGCTATTCATTTATTTCCTTGCTTGCCCAAGGTAAAAGAATTAATTAATCTGGAGGCTTCTAATGCGGGCCACGTGCTGCAGCAGCATGACGGACAGATTTATCCTGGTTTTTTTTATATCTTCTGGGGATCCAGTGTTGCTTCGCATCCATCGCACGCCCCCTTTTTTGCTCTCAATTTCTTTGCATTGTGCTTCGATACTTGATTTTTATTGCTTGATCTTCTCATCTATCAGGTACCCGGGTTTCTAGCACCATCCACGGGAGGGCGACCGACCATCGGTTTCCGATAGTCGATTATACTTGACTTTATCCTGTGATGGAACCTGTGGGCCCCTGTGCTTCGAGTAACGGGACCCTTGCATTCACCAGGTTTAATGACACGACTCATCCGTATGCTATATTAAACATTATTATGCCCCAAAATTTGGTATCATCGTCGTTGCTCTCGTCGTCATCATTATTCTGCCTGGCTCTTCCTTTTTTTTTCCTTCTTATAGCATTTCATATTTTTCTCTTTTACGTGTGGAAAAGAAACTGTCGCATATATCTTTTTCTTACTTCGTCTATTTGCCTCTTTCGTTCATTGGAATCGTCCATTACAATAGAATCAATTGGAGACGTCACGTAATGAAGGAAACGATGTGAGGTATCAAAGAGTTTGAAAGGCAAAGCGACTCAAGTGAACAGGTTATTTGATGCGTAGAATAAGATAAATAATTCAAATAAATTGAACTGTCGCAATCTGCGACATTGAATTCAGAAAAAGAAAAGAAACGTAATTGCGAACCGTAAGCCTGTCGACGGAAACAATCGCCACAGCATGTGCAGCGGATTAAACTTAGTAACCGTGACATTAAACTCGCAAAATCGATTTCATTACGGCAGGCAAGAATTTGAGCCGTGGAAGCTTGCAGCGCTGCAGAGAAATTTTTTTACGACTGATGCGACCTCCGCCCCGGAAAAAATTGCAGACCTTTTTTCCTCCCTTTTACGTTACAAAAATATAAAAAAAATTCTGACATGAATAAGTCATCTGCTTATATATATTATAGTATTTATTCAGTGTGCTCCCCACTGTACATATACTCTGTCTCAGAATTGCAGCACTAAAAATGGATAAATGGCTGTCCTGTATTATCACGCAATTTATGTATGCTATATTTTTTCTAAATTCCAAATCTTCAAGTTGAAGGAGCTATGGCACAGTGGTAGCGCATCGGATTGCAGATCCGCAGGTCCCGTGTTCGAATCACGGTAGCTCCTTCAATAAGTTCATGTTTTGTGTATTTTATGACGCCTATTGGTTTGAGCGATCCCAGTGTTTACTTTTTGTTATCTCCCTTTTACGATAAGATAAATCATGCCACAGATCATAGACGAGAAGTATTGTATAACCTCCATGCCATTGCAGGTTCATTTTCTTTTATCGGCTCCCTTGTGTTATGACCTATTGGACACAAGACCAGATCCAGGGAAGATAAAGGGGAGACGAAGAGAAAAGCAATGCTAATGCCTAGTAGCTATTTTTTTCTTCTTTATAAAATATCGTCATATATAGGATGCAGCTGTGTAACTGACTCTACCTTACTTCTATCGTCCATTATGCGCATGCTAGAAGCCACGTTAATGCTACCATTATGTAGTCTCGGCTGTAAAAAGAGCAAAGGGTCTTCAGTGATAGTATACTGAGACATATAAAAAATAATCAGCAGCCTGACAGTACTAAGCGTTTCGTCTAATCCCTAACGAAAGTTATTCATCATTAAATGGTACTTTCTGATTGGACTATATTATTTGAAAGAATATCCGTTTTATTAATATTTCAAATGGGTATGTAGAGAGCAAACGCGCAAGGGGAAAATACATTTCTAATCTGAGCTAGAGTCTAGCTACTGTCACAATAGCAAGGCCCGAGATATGATCTCTCTTGCGACATACAGTGTCGTGGAGCGCATCTTCGCCTTTCCGGGATGATTCTTTCAACAGCAGGACGAACCGCCAGGGAAGCTGGGAGCGGGTGATATCATAGTAGCCACCCCAAAACAGAGAAGAACGCCCGATTACGCTTTCAGTGCCTTGAGCGGGCGGATCACGAAGGAATAGAAGACAAATGTAATATAAAAAAGTCAGGTTGATGCCCACCGACGTGCGTGAATATAACCGTTACCTATACCATTGCACTCATTATTATCATCGTTTTCATTGCCCCTGCATCTTTAACGGCTGACTGGTAATGAGGCGTTCATCAGTAACGCACTAGCCTATATTATATGGATCCGTATAGCTGAAAGCACAATATATGTTCCGACGTGGAAGGCATCCCAATGACTATATTGCAGTATGCGAGCCAGGTCGTTTAAAATGAATGCTGGTACAATCACCATGCATATTTTCCTTGATGCTCCGTCTTCATCCCCTATACACGGCCTCCTTTGTTTGTATACTTATGCGATCGAATATCTGCATTGACATACGTACTATCCTATCCTATACCAAGATGTACTCCTGTATATGATCTGCAAGTTTTCGCGAGTATCCCATAAGTATGGCAGAGTGATAGAGCATCTGCGGTGAAATACACCCATATTTGGACGCAGATGATTGACACGGCCAACCCCTCGTGGTATATCCTCCAACCCCCGCGCACACGCCCCTTCCAAATAGAAGTCGATATGCATGGCAGCACCTGTTGCATCCCAAACAAGCCTTCTCGTAAAACTTTTTTTCTTTTATCTAGACTGATTATGGCACTCTCCGTGTGTATAACCGAAGTACACCTGTCTCTATGAAGATGTCGATATAAAATGGACCCTTTCGGTCATACATGACTAGAGATATATGCAGTCTGATAAAATGTTGGCAGAGTACTCACCGAAATATGTGGTGTCCGCCGTGACAAATGCCCATCTTTCAGAGGACCGTAATCGATATGTCCAGCGATGAACCCTTTACCCGCTTGGGCTACATACGCAGAGAGTTCCATAGTCAGTATAGACAAAAAGAGAAAAAGTTGTACAAGAAGGATTGTTTGGGACGCAACAGGTGCCGCCGTTCAAATCGACCTCCATTTGGAAGGGGTATGTGCGTCGAAGAGGTATGTGCGTGGAAGGGGGGGGGGGCGATATATCACGAGGGGGTCGGCCGTATAAATAACCTTGAATGCACTACTGACTACGATATGTATCATGGCGTAGCTGTACTGCAGGGGATCGGCAAATCACAGCTAACGACCCTTAGCTGCTGATATGATATGTATACCAGATGTTGGTACAATCTTCGCAGTTTCCCCGGTTCTGTCTGTATATGCAGCAAAGGAGTCTGATCCTTCATCTCACGCACCATTTACAAAGTCGAAGGATCATGCATGAAAGGCAGTAGCATAAATAAGGTGATAAGTCGAGGGACATTATCTATCACCCTATTACAACAGGGCTTCACAACTTGCTGCTCCTCCTTTAACCCATCCACCACAACATTATAAACGACAAGCCAAAATGCGTTTCACGTTCATTTCTCTCTTGCTGGCTACTCTGATATCTTCGGCGCTCAGCTTTCCCCTGGAAGCTACCACTGCTGGAAGTCAAGGTGGACCTCTTAGTGCGCCCCACGACACTGAATCTTCGCACGCACCCCAGGAGAAAGAGCCTTTGCAAATAGATTGCAAGATCCTACTCACTTGCTAGAGAGGATAGAAGTTATCCAGTATTAGCTACAGCTGCCATCAATTGCAAAAAGCATACCTAAACTGAATGCCAAGGGAGAATTATAGAGAGATGAATATAGCAAATAAACGTATACGATGTGTTTAGTGCTGTTTAGTGCTCTTCATGCTTCAAGGTATCCGTGCTTTCCCCCGCTAAGACGGTAGAGAATGACCCCTTTGAGCAAGGTTCTGGTGTACGAGTCTGAGCAACTGTGTACCTACGACTCTGCCTGCTCTATACTATCTGAAGGTCTTTACTTGATTTATTAGATGTAATACTGATCAGTAGCATCACCATTTGAGTAGCTCAGCCCTGTTTGATATATACGAGTAAAGAAAAATAACGTCATTGTTTCCGCCATCGCCCCACCTATGATCCTTTGGCGCACATTTTACAAATGAGCTCGCTCGGCGTGCTTTCCTGCCACATGCCTATATTCACACGCGCTTCGTTAGAAGACAGGGAACGAACAAGAGCACTTTGGCTTACGCGTACGGAGCTTGGGACTATTTCTGCCATTTCATGCACAGCTTACAAAATCAGACCATTGATAGAAACATGCTCCGCCTGGGCACTGATAGCACCTGTATCCCCTTCCTGCAATGAAAGGTCAGATACGTACCCTTATCGCGTCTTTATCGACCTACGCCTGTGCACTGGTCTGACTTTGTCTGAGAGTGTGGGGTGCCAGATCAAATGTGAAGGTTTATATTTAGGGTCTTGGATTGGGAATTCCGGAAACCGTAGCGCAAGGCATTATCATATACGACACCCTATGGCTTGATGTCGAGCGCAATCGCTTGGCAAAATGGTAGGCTTGGCGTAACAAATTCCATAGAGAAGGAAAATGACGTGTAAGCACGCCAAAGCAACATCATCACTATGCAGGAGGCAACCCTTCCCTTGCAAGGGGTGTTATACTCAATATCGGGCACCTCGAAACCCTCAACGTGCCCGACACGGTGTTATTCCTGTCAACCCTGTTCCCAGCAAATCATCAACTGCCATAGATCTGAAAAATTATGAGGTTGTAATGGCTTTTCCTAACTAATGCGCATAGATTTCCTCACAGTAAGATGAGATAACAAAAAAAAAGGAAGTACGGAGCCAAACCCCACGAACACAGGCACGGATATCACGCAGGAACTGGGAGAACCGCCAATTGTTTACTTCACAAATGCAAATACTGCATCTTCGTTAGATAACTGACCGCTAACGAGACTTTTATCGGTAACAGACCAGCCTATATGACATGGATCCGTATAACTGAAAGCAGCAAATATGTTCCGATGTGGAAGGCACCCCAATGACCACATTGCAGTATGTGAGCTAGGTCGTTTGAAATGGATGCTGGTACAGTCACCCTGCATGTTTTCACTTGAATAATTGATACGGCCACCTCCTCGTGGTACGTCGGCCAAATCCCGATCCTCCGCGCACACACCCCTTCCAACTAGAGGTCAATTTGGATGGCAGCATCTGTGCCGTCCCAAGCAAGCCTTCTCGTACAACTTCTTCTCTTTTCTTCTATACTGACTACGGCACTCTGCGTGCATAGCCCGAAGCGGACTTGTCTCTATGAAGATGTCGATATAAAATGGACCTGATCTGTCGGTCTTACATGACTAGAGATGTATACAGTCTGATAAAATGTAGGCAGGGTATTCACCGGGAGTATGTAGTTTTATTCGTGAAGAATGCTCCTCTTTCAGGGAACATTGGACTTCTGCCTTCTAGATGTAGTTGGTATGTCCAGCGAAAAGCCCTTCACCCTCTATGCACGCAGAGAGTGCCGTAATCAGTATAGAGAAAAAGAGAAAAAGTTGTACGAGAAGGCTTGTTTGGGACGGCACAGATGCTGCAATCCAAATTGACCTCTAGTTGGAAGGGGTGTGTGCGCCAGGGGGGGGGGTTGGCCGACGTACCACGAGGAGGTGCCGTATCAATTATCTTTCCCTTGATATTCCGCCTTCATCCCTGATACACGACCTCCTTTGTTTGTATACCTGTGCCATCGAATAACTGCATTGACGTACGTCCTGTCCTATCCTATACTAAGATGCACTCCTGAATATGATCTGCAGATTTTAACGATCGTCGCATAGGTCTTGCCTTCTTTACTAGTATACCAGAGTGATAGAGTATCTCCGGTGAAATACGCCTCATCTCGTATTTCAATGCACTATTGACTACGATATGCATCATGGCGTAGTTGCATAGGAGGGGATAGGCAAATCATGATTAGCATACCCTTTGCTCCTGATATGCTAGGTACACCAGAGATTGGTAGAATATTCTCAGCACCCCCCCCGGGGTTCTGTCGTTATATGCAGCAAACAAATCTCGCACCATTTACAAAAGTCAAAGGATCATGCATCAAAGTCAGAAGTATAAATAAGGGTGATACATTGAGGGACATTATCTATCATCCTATTTTGCAACAAGACTTCACAACAACTTGCTCCTCCTCCTTTATCCACCCACCACAACATTATAAACGACAAGCCAAAATGCATTTCACGTTCGTCTCTCTCTTGCTGGCTACTCTGATATCTTCGG